GAAACCAGCGCATTGAGGAGCTCGAAGAGGCTTTGCGCCAGCAGCAGGTGCAAGAAGAGCGCTCGAAAGCAGAAGTAGAGGAGCTGCAAAAACTACTTGAAAAAATGGCACAGGCCATAAAACAGGCAGAGCAATCAAGGGCTGCAGCAGAAGAGCGCGCTGCTGCATCACAAGAGCCCCCAGACACGGCAGCAGAGGTGGCAGCCAATGAAAAAGCTGGAAACCAGCGCGTTGAGGAGCTCGAAGAGGCTTTGCGCCAGCACCAAGTGCAAGAAGAGCGCTCGAAAGCGGCGATTCAAAAGCAGCTCGAGGGGAAAGACAAAGAAGTAGAGGAGTTGCAAAAGCAACTTGTCGAAATGGCACAGGCCATAAAACAAGCAGAGCAATCAAGGCCTGCAGGGGAAGAGCATGCTGATGCACCACAAGAGTCACCGGAGAAGGCCGCAGAGGTTGCAGCACGTGTAGTTGTCAGCCACTGGGTTGAAAAGGCTGGAAGCCAAAGCCCTGCAGAAGAAAAGTCTGTCCGAGACAATCAGCAGACTTCGGAGTGGCTTTCGCAGTGGGACTCAGAAGATATATTTTTGACAGTTCCCATGGTCATGGCATCTGGGATGTGTGAGCAGGGTCTTGCACCAACCCGGGTTGGGCTGAAGGGGTCGGACTTTTTGATACAACCCTTGCTGCCAGCAGGGCCGCCAGAACGGATGAAATTGAGCAGCGTGAAGTCAATCAGCACTGAGGTGTGCGGTGACAACGTGTCATTGCTGCTGGACATCGAAGAGGGTGGAGCTCAGAGAAGGCTTCAGCTGAAGAGCGATGAAGAAAGCACGGAAGCTCTGCTTGCCACCTTGACACTTGATGTGAGAGTCATGCCAGGAGAGGAGCTGAAGAGATAGCTCAAACCAAGTCTCACCACAAGCTCATCCAAAGTTCGGCTTGTGATTAGCGCTTCGGTGCTTCTTTGTCCTTTAACAGTCGGCCTCGGTGAAAGAGAAGTTGTGAATCGAAGCTCCAATCAGGTTAATTTTCAATTTTGAATGCTTGATTTTTGTAGCGAGGCAAGTGATGCGGAATAGTTACAGTTACCCGTGGACACCCGGTCGCCAAGTTAGAATCTGGGGAGCTTGCACCTGACCAAATACTTCAAACCCATTGAACATCTGTGGACCTGTCTCATGCTCTTTAACCATGCGGTTGTTGCTGCAATTGCTGCCGTCCTCGCGAAGATTGCTCGTTTGCACCTTTCTCTGCGGGTCGGTCATGACAGGCATCGATGGCGCTGCCCGACTCCGCTCCGTGCAATTCCGCCGGCTCTGGACCTTCTACGACTCATGGGCCATGGATGTGACCGCCGATGACCGGAGCCTCTCGGAACGCCACATTGACCGTCGTCGTTTGGACATCCGTTGAGTCCTCCTCGGTCCTCACGTGGTGGAATGGCTTTGAAGGCGTTCTGAGGTCGTTTCCTCGCTTATCTGGTGTGCTCCGAGTGGAATAGTTTGAATAGTCTAGGATTCTATGACCGATGCAAGTGCTCGTTGTTCAGCTCCGTGCCTCAAAGGCGACCTTGATGAGCTGCTGAACATGCTTGAGACCTTTATCAAGGAGCATCGCGCTGACAGGCGCAGCTCGCAGCTTGCGAAGTCGCACTTCTTTCGACCAAGAATGGTGGACAAGAAAGATGACTGGTGAATGTATGTGAATGTGACAGTTCAAAGATGTTAGGATGAAGCAAACCCAAAAACGGCTGCCCTGGAACGGGCTTTCTCACAGAAACCGCCAGGGCTCATAGGGGCTTTTTTGGGTAAGTTTTAGTTGGTCCGAGAGGTGAGGACAAACCCCAATATTTTTTAGATCCTCCATGTTTTGTCCTTCAGAAGATTTGGCATTGGGGCTTTGGCTTTGAACTGCGAACCCATTCTGCCTAGGCCGGTGCTGCTTGTGGCAGAGTCCATGGGTGCGGTGTTGGCGCTGAATTTGGCCTTCAACCAACCCAAGCTAGTTGAAGTGGGAAGCCAAGATGACAAAGTGCTGGTTTCGGTTTCTTCTTTGGTGTGGGCTTGTGTAATCTGCACTACTTATATAGGTCAATGTATCTATGTTCTGGATGTGCAGTTTGCACGGTTTCGGTTCTTAATAAGACCTCAAGAAAGGGCACAGCACATGTTTGTCGGTTCGTTTGTAAACTTGTTGTCGTCAGCCTTCTTACTCTGGAAGGCTCTTTGTTTGATCAATCCGGCCACCAGCTACAGAAGTGCTTCGGCTCGCATCAGCCTGTTCTTGTTTTGAAGTCTGCGACGCCTTCGCACGCACTAGAAAGGTAAAGCAGCAAAGCACAGCAAAACTTGGCTCCGAAGGAACGCCGTTGTCATTGTTGGCGCCGTTGCTTCCAAGCCTACCGGAGAACCTCTATGAGACCCTGCCAGCCGCACCTGGGCAGAGATAAACACCCTTCCCTCAGCTGAGTGTTTTCTCACAAGCTTTGAATGCCACGCAACGGCCAATGCACTTGAGCAATATGCAAACCAAGGTGATCACACCACTGGTTGGCCGAGTTGGCTGGTATGAGGGAGTCATTAGCTCCCAGCCACCTGAACGAAGTACTGATTAAACCGGTTCATGCTGCTTAGGCTTAAACCAGTCAACTTCTCTGAGCCGCCCTGAACCGCCTTCGGTCAAGATCTGAGGCAAGTTGACTCCGCTGGCTCCAGCCCTTTGGAGAACTTCCTGCGCATCAGCCGTGCCCCGGTGGGTTTTTACAGGTCGGGCAGACGGACGTTGAATGGCCAGTGTCGCCGATGGTTCGGCGGCTTTGCTTCGCCTTGTCTCACGCAAGGTGGGATGCTGATGGCAATTTGCGTTGTCTCACCTTATGTGCTAATTGTTTCCCACCAAGGCGGCTTGAGCAAAGCGTTGCCTCCAGAAACCCTGCGCTTTCGTGAGTCTCTCCTGCGCTGCTTGGAAAAGTCCAGTTGTCCGACCTTTTTCATGAGATCGGTGGCCTAGGCCTAGGCCTACTGTAGGCTTATCAAATTGTCCTGCCCCTGCATCAAATTTGAGGACGCTTTACTCTACGGGATGGTTCACTTGCACGTATTTAGTATGTCTTGGTTGGTTTTGAGGTATTACCACGGCAGTGTACTCAACTGACAGACATTGAGCTCTCCACAGATGCTTGAACCCACCGCAAGCTTTGCAAAGCTCTAGAGATACAATCGGCCACGCTGAACGTAGATTAACACCGAGATGAGATTACCGAGATGAACACCGAGATAAGTGCTTTTGCGGCACTTGTTTGCCCCAATTACCTTCGAAGATACACCGTCTTAGCTGGTTGAGACTCTTCATTGTTTATTTAAACAAAATCATGCCGTCACATTGCTTTATTTCGAGCAGCAGAACGGTGCTCGCTGATCTTAGTAAACATCCAGAAGGATATATATATATATATAACTAATTATATATATATATATCTGTATATTAAAGGATACTGTAATGTCTAGTTATCGACTCTATGCGGTCTCCCAATTACGGTGATTAGTTATGTTCTCTAAATGTCAACCATTTGGAGTTGGGCTATGTGTCACCAGTAGCGTTTCAGAGGCAACCTTTTCCTTGGTGTTTGCAGTGCGGGTTAATCCAACCTTTGTACCCCAAATCCGCTCGGATTCCCAAACGACTGGAGCCCATCGTTGGTTCCGAGGCAAGGGTTTGCGGCGTTTGGAGCCCAGGATGGCGGATCCACCGGCCATTGTCACTCTCCTGGTGGCCGGGGATGCGGACGCAGTTCTACCATCAGTGGCCGAAACGGCACGCTTGCAGAAGTTGCTTCCAGGCAGCTTGGATTTGGGGTTTCAAGCTTCTGCAGTTGCGAGATATTTCAGACAGATGTAAGTGGGCTGTGAGCCCATCTGACGATCCGACCACTGCCGTGGCCTTTTCGGCTTCAAAAGGCCCCAAGCGGAGAGTAGATTAATTGTTATGCTCCCTTTTTTCATATGTTGAAGCCACCAGTGAGTATCCCCCGCGCGCCGTCCATGCCGCGGGTGCAACTGCAGCTGGATGTGCAGGATTCGCAGGAGAGATCGGCCAGTGAATCAGATCGAGAGATGAGCAGCAGCAGCAGCAGCAGTGGTTGCGAGTGTGATTTTGTGCCCCCTTGCCACCCTTTGAGGGAGAGAACGCAAGTGTTGAGCAGCATTTGGCTCACAAGTGCGCCTTGGACCAAGAACATCCTTGCTGTGTGGCACACATACCTGCTTTGCGTCGCAGCGTGTGCCATATCCTGTGCCTCTTTGGTCGTGGTGCTTTTCTGGCATGTAGAGTGGTACCACCACTACGATCCCCAGGTATCCAGCTTTGACTTCACGCTGCACTTTCTTGCAGCCTTTGTGAAATCCTGGTTGCTGATTGGCACCACCAGCGAGCTGCTTCGCTTTTGCTACTTGCTTAGTGTGGATGCCTGGCGAGTTGAGATGTTTGAAGCATATCGCCGGGCGCTTTGCTTTGCATCCTTTGCGGAGATTGCTGCTGGAACTCTCTATGTTTGTGGCTGGCCTGCCCCCATCCAAAATTGGCGCAAAGTCGCCGATGTGTTTCTGCAGTTTGCCATCCATCTCTCCCTGGACATTTTTCCAATCATCATGGTGGCAGTGGACCTGGCGACCTGGAACAGCAATTTCGAACTCTCCAGTGCTATGCTGGCCATTGCGTGCATTCATGTGATTCTCTTCTGGGCCGCTTGGACCATTGGGGACTTGGCTCTGAAAGTCAAGGCCTTTTCAGCTGCCTGTCGAGCCAAAGTTCTAAAGGTTTCTCACCTGGGCACGGCCACGCGTGTGTTGCCTTTGGTCGTGTCAGACGACGAGAAGGAAAGTGAGAACGAGAACATTCCAGGCTGGGATTTGCAAAACACCTTCGTAGTGGAGGAGATGGAACCTACCGGGCGTCTCAGAACCCGGAGTATGACGATTGCAGTGGCTGGCCCTTTTCAGGCTGAAGAGGTGGACATGGACGCTGACACCACGCCAGCTGTGTCCAGTACTTCCGAACCGATCCCCGCACGGGGTCGAAGTCAGAATATCCTGGTGAACGAGAATGTGGTACAGAATGCCCAAACCTACGGCAAGTTGGGCAATGAACGGCCCATGGATCTTTGCCTTCCTGTTTGTGTTTTCCTGTTTCACCTCGTGGATGTCTTCCCTTTGGTGCTGTCTTTTGTCGTCATTCTCTTTGGCAGCGCAACCGGACACAGAGCATTGGTCTTCTTGGGTCTGGAGACTGCAGTACTGATCATCCTTGGAATGCTCATAGGCAAGCCCAAGCCATTTACCCTATCTTGCTGGAGCAAGCGCTCAAAAGGTTCAAGGCTGAAGTATCTTCAAGAGTGGGGTGACTCCTTTTGTGGCTTGGGCTACTCGGATCAACTTCACTCCAGGATGCCCTTCATCTACATCACCTTCCTTCTCGGAATCTTGGCGGGTGCGCTGGATTGGTGGTATTCAATGTTTTATTGTGCCGCTACCTTGCTTCTTTGCTTCGTGGTGCAGACCTCAGTGTTGATCCAAAGGCCATGGGCATGGCTCTTTGGACTCCTAGAGAGCTTTGTGCTGATGATTGTGGCCAGCGCTATTTTGTGGGCAAGCCCAGTGCTGACTCCAGCGCAGGATTGCGGCCTCGTCTTCGCATTATTTCTTTGCAGACAATTTTGCTTGAAGCGAACCTTTGCCTCGGGCAGCCGCATTCAGCTTTCGGCATTGCTTCTTCTCTGCACATTTCAAATGGCGCTGGCCGCTTGGTGTGAAACAGCTGGCGCAGAACTGATGCAGGTAGAAACTGGCTTTGTATTGCCACCGGATCAACATAAACACAACATGGTGACTGTCCATTGTGCTAGAATCTAGAAGAATTGAGCCGTTTTGGTGAACCTAGACCCGGCCGGCGCACTCCCTTGCCACAGAACATCTCTTAAAATCAGAGGGTTTTGAAACAACCGGCGTGTCCTTGCAATCCCGGCGTGTCTTGGCAACTGCTGAGGTTGAACCCGTGCTTTCCCAATGTCCCTCAGTGTTCTCCCACTGCCAATGGGTGAACGATTGCGTTTTCCACATCGGCTCACCCCCTTTTGATTCAGAAAACCCTCCATACGAGGAGCTTGTGCAAGGAGCGAGAGAACCGCAAGTCCAAGCACCCAAATGGAGGTTTTATTCATCAAGAGTCTATATGTGTATATATATATATACACATTGACTCCAGGCCCTGTCTGGGCTTTTTCATCCCTTTGCTTCGGTCCCCTCAGTCTTCTTTCTTTCAGAGTACCCACTGAAAGTACACTGACAGCACAAGGTTGTAACAAGGGCATCGCTACTAGGAACAAGGGCTGTATATACTAGTAGCTCTTCTAGCTAGTAGTTACTAGTAGCTTGTTCCTAGTAGCGATGCCCTGGTGCTAAGAAATTGGCACAACTGAAGCACCGAACCTTTGGACCTGAAGCGCTTGTGATCGAACGTCTTCTGTGAGACGGACTTAGATCTTTGATCGTACATCTCACCCCCACCGTACATCCTTATCTATGTATATGTATGTAGACCGTATACCGTGTTATCTCCATGTTGATCTTTGTTCTTCTGTGTGATTGATTTCTGAGAGCAATAGCTGCCCCCTAGCAATGTTTCGTTCATCCGCACAGCACTCAGATAAAAAGCTGCTGGGCTGTGTTTGCTGTGAGGTCACCGTCATTAGCTGCTGCATTGCAAACCACCGCACTGTCGGCTCCAATCCAATGTTTTGCGACCGTGGCTTATCTGATTGTCAGTACTACGATGTCCCATACATTGGAGACTTTGGTGGGCGCTGGCCCATTTGCGAGATTGGCTTCAGCACAGCCCCGTTCATGGAACACGACTTGACTCTAGCAGACTTCGCTCTCATGTCGGCCTTCACCTATGAGCCACCAAGCCATGTTCCCAGCTTGCTGCAGCAGTACTTTCCAAACTGGAGGGTGAGTTACAAGCACATCCCCATCATGCTGACAGGCACCTTTGATTGGACATCCTTTTATGAGTTCACCGCGGGGGACAACAGTACCACCGTTTTTGCAGTTCGTGGCACCACCGACATGTTCGATGCACTCCAAGATATGGACCTGTGGCTGCCGGTGGGCATGATGTACGTTTTTGAGAGGCTGGGCCCCAGTGTGATCCAGCTCTGGGGCCCGGGCATTGCATGGATTTGTCGCCATGTCTATGTCCAGCAAGATGGCAACTTTTCGCTCTCCTTTTTGAACTTGCTGAACATGGTCACGAATCGCATGACTAGTGACTTGGAACGTGCCAATGTTCATTTTCTCACCAAACTCATAGTTTAAACCTCTCTCAATTCAGACCTAGTGATTTGACTGGGGGCTTTCGTTCGCAAGGCTATCCCAACCGGACCTACTACATCACAGGCCACTCTCTTGGTGGTGGAATTGCCAAGTTGGTGGCCGCTGAGGCTCTGAGAAGAGAGCGACTGCTGCCAGGCCTGGCCTTGACCTTGTAACATTTTCAGACATGGTCAGGCGTTCATCCTGCCAACACCTTGATATATGTATGTAATATATTGGTATGGTATGGCATTGTATGGTAGTGTATGGTAATGTATGTATGTATTTTTTTTCCTAAAGCTGAGTGAGCTGCCTGTTTAGGCCTGTCTTGAGACGTGCTAGGGCAGTGCTCAGGCTTCTCAGAAGAAGTCGACGGTCATGTTGTCACCGCAGTCTTCATCTTCTGCTTCTGGTTGCTCTTCGACTGCATCTAGCTGAGTGCTGAAGTGGAGTCTCCGCAGCTGGGGCCTGGTGTCAGCCATGTCTGGGGCATAGTGCCTGGCTGTCTGTGGCCTTGCCTCTGGATCCTGTGGACTGTTGGTGTCCGTCTTTTTCTTGAAGAACTCACTGAGTGGTGGTGAGCCTTTGGTGCCAGCTCCTTTGCAGACTTTGGTCAGCACCTGGTTGGTGATGATGCGCTGCTCTCCATCAAGGTTCCACTGACACCCACATTGTGTGCATCTCACTTTCCCGCCCTTTTGCCACAGAGTGTGACTTGGGTGCCCTTGTGGCGGTTGTGGGAATGCTTGATCCACGCACTTGGATGTGATGAAGTGCTGGAAGGCCTCTTCATTGACTCGGTGGTCTCAGCAAACTGGTGCTCGTCAGGGCCTGGTGTTTGCTGTTGTTGCCGGTGCAGGAGGTCTTTTATTTCAGCCTTGGCTGGCAGGGCACATGCATCTTCAATCAGCACTTGCGGACAGTCTTCATGAAGTCGGCTTTCAAGAATGCTTTTGATCAAACCTTGATGCATTCTGGCGCCACACGCCGTGCATTGGTACCCGCTTCTATGAGGCTCCCACCTGTGATGGTTTTCTGCCCAGATTTTGCCACATTGCTTCACCAGATCACGCTTGTATTGTTTGGTGTGCTTCCCTTGATGTCTGGGAGCTTTCTGGTGAATAAAGTGCTGGGGGTCGTCGTAGATCTTGGCCAAACGTTGGACAGCATGGGTGTAAATCAGCTTGTGGTCGGAGTCTAAGATGTCCTGCCATTCTGCTTGTTTGTGGTCTTGGAACTGTTTGGCCCGCTCCCAGGCTGCTAGGGCAGAGTCCCGCTGGCGCCTCCTGAGCTGTGGTTCGTTGCCCAGTGCATCAGGAGTTCTGGTCGCTCTGCTGATGTAGAGCACCGCGATGCGGGCAAAGTCTTGCTCTGTGACTTCTTCAAGGATGTCCTGAAAGGCCGCTCTGCTGCGGGGTTGGTGCCATGCCTCCCAAACTGTGGCGATTTGGACGATGACTTTGGCCTGCATGGTGGTGTGCTTTGCCAGGGCTACCACCCCTGCCAGGAGTGCTCTGGCTTTGGTTTGTGCTCCCTTGGCAACTCCCGTGATTGCGCCAAGTCTTTTCAATTGCCCTAAGGCTCTAAGGACATGGTGTGAACGCAAAGTCCAAACACCCACATTTGGGTGCGCTCGTCGTAGGAGGATGGTGTGGCATCAAGTGTGTAGGCCCAACCGTTGTATGGTTGGGGTGCTAAAGGTACCAGTCCTGCCCAACACCCATGGCCATGGTAAGGATGGTCTTGGTGTCGTTGCTCTTGCAATTCCAAGGGAATCCCCGCTGACCATAAAGGTTCTTCTTCTTTGGATGTGATCCTGTCCATCCACTCTGGCGGCATAGGCATCGTTTGACCTTGGTGGCCTCACGAAATTGCACTGCTGCCGGCATAGGTATCAAAATAAAAATAAAGAGAGCATCCAAAAAAACAGGATCAAACAAAAATACAAAGCGAATCAAAAAATAAATATTCCTTGATAGGCCTTTTCTGCTGCTCTCCTGGCCTTGTGGTCTGCGGGTCCTCTGGTAATGTGGTCCCTTGGTCCTCTGGTCCACTGGTCCTTTGGTCCCCTGGTCCCTTGGTCCTTGAGTCCACTGCTCCCCTAGTCCTCCAGTCTCCTGGTCCTCTGGTCCTGTGGTCCGCTGGTCCCCTGGTATCCTAGTCCTTCTGTCTCCGAGCGCTCTGACAACGCCATGTAGGGCCTAACTTCGTGTGAACGCCGTGACTACTGCTACTGCTACCACTACTACTACCACTCCTCCTCCTGCTGCTGCTGCTGCTGCTGCTGCTGCTGCTGGCTGCTACTGCTACTGCTACTGCTACTACTACTACCCCAACCATCCTCAGTGGGCTAGAATATTTTTTTTGATTACCTTCTTATTTTTTTTATTGATCCCCGTTGAATATTTTTTTGATTCTATTTTATTTTTATTTTGATCCCTTACCCATCCTGCCTGGACCCAAGTGTTGAGGTGGTGCTTGCTTTGGGCTGGCAGTTTTTTCTTCACCTCATGATAGGTGTGCCAGTCGAGGCCTGTGATGAGGTGGTGATGATGCGGTCGGCTAGCCAGTCGGTTGATGCGTTGATTCTTGGCCTCCTGGAGCAAGGCCCTTTCCAACTTCCACCAAGGTTGTTGCAGGTCAAGCGCATTGCTCAGAATGAGAGGAGCTTCAGGTCTGTTCCATCTCATCAGGTTGGCAGCCTGCCAGCCCCATTCCTTGAGATATGTGATGGCTGCAGCCATGGGTCCGCGGACTGTGTACCATGGGTACTGTTTGGTCTGAAGCTGGTGATATGTGGTTTCCCAGGCTTGTTCCAGTGCCGCCAGTTGCTCCGTGGGCCAGGCATGGATTAGGCTGTGGATGGCTCTGATGTGGTGGATGATGACTTGATCTCCTGGATCAATGTACTTTTTGTGGTGGAGATCATAGGTGCTGTCTAGCAGGCCTCCTGTGTGATGGCTCAGATGCTTGGCCATGGCCTGCCGCAGGGTGGTGCGGTAGCGGGGCGCTAGGCCCTGTCCTTCAACCCCCCAGAGGGCTGCTGGTTGGATGCCACCTCGCTGGAGTCGTAGCCGGATCTTCAAAGCCGGGATCCTCAAAGTTCGGAGCTTCAGTTTTCGTTTGTTGCCAGTCGTTGCTTCATGACTATGGTCCACACCCAAGTCACGCATGACAGCTTCAACTGGTGGCTCGCCTGGTTGCAGGATGGCCCGTAGGGCCTTGTCGGTGCTTCGGTCAGTTGCTATAAAGGCAGTTTTTTGTGGGTTCACTTTGAGGCCCAGTTCAACCAGTCTGTTGTGCAAGTCTCTGTAGGCATTGACCGCCCTTTGTGCCACTGACATCGGTATTTGACCTGCAGTGTCAAATCCCACATCATCCACCCAGCTAGAAAGGTGCACATCTGGGTGGTTTGTCTTCCAGGGTTGGAGCGCTGGTGCCAGCACGGCCTTAGCCAGTAAGGGTGCTTGGGGGCAACCAGCTGGGACTCCATTTTGGACGGTGAAGAATGGGGTCATCTCCTGCTCCGCCACGATTGCTTTGGGACCAGTGTAAAGCAAGTAGACACCCGCAATGAGGATGGTACAGTCGGTGGCCTGCCACAGAAAGGCCTGGTACCCACTGCCGTGACAGGTGTAGGACTCGAGTGGTGTGAGTCCACAGGCTTGGTCTCCCAGAACGAGTATGCCACCATGGGTGCCTGTGTTATCCTCATTGGCTTGTGCTGGAGCGCCAAATGCCGTTCTGCCTCGAATGGTGAAGTATTGACAAGTTTGTTGGCGCTTTTGTGGATCCAGGTGAGTCTCAACGAAGATGTACACCTCACTTTGTCTTGCCCAGTGCCAGTCAAGTACCTGTTTGCCGAAGTTTGTGACATTGGCAAAGTGTATCTGGTTGTGTGCTTGCTCAAGACGTGGTCTCTTATCTGGGCTTGGATGAAGAGGTGGATCATAGTCAGGCTCCTCAGGCGGTGGGAGGGTAGTGACCGAATGATTTGCTGAGTCGCCCGAAAGGTATCGATGTGTACAGCCCAGACTTGGGTGACTTGGCTGGCCAATTGTGGCGTGAGGTGCTCCAGGTGGGTGGGCGGTTTGCTGTCATCTGCAATCCACATCAAGTCTCTGTAGATGAGGATGCCAAAATAGTGGCCAGTATTGTGGCTGGGTCCTCGGTGGCAGATGAGAGCTGCTGGCACAAATTCCGAGGATGTCCTTGCAAAGCCATCCAAAGATCTTGGCACCGTGAACGCGCCGTAGGGGTTGAGGATCTTTGCATGCTTGGTCATCGTTCCATCGACACAGGTGTTGCGGGTGATGTGACTGATCAGCGCCGGTTTGTCGTCCAGCAAGTATTGCCCTAGCCCTGTGTTGGCCCATCCATTGTAGAGGTCTTGAAGCCTGGTGTTTTCAGGCCAGTCATCAGGGAAGTCCACCAGGATGGGCTGCTGGATGTGATCTTTCAAGAAGCCACCTTCTTGGATTTCAGCAAACCTGTAGTGAAAAGCTCTCGTTTGAGAGAGGTTCCAGAGCGTGTTGACAAAATGTGGCCGCTTCCCGACAGTCCTTGCAGCTGCTTTGAGAACGACATACCCAGAAGGTCTCTATGCTGGACGGCGTGGAAGTCACGTGGCTGCCGTGAGTGACCCGCCAGAGGATGAGGATGTGGGTGACATCGGAGAAGTCTTTTTGGCGGAGGATGAGGAGGGCCTGTTGGGTGGTGACGACCCAATAGAAGAGCAAGATGCTGTGGACGTGCTGCTGTCATGGAAGCAAACACGTCAGAGCATCTCCAAAGAAAAGCTATCACGCGGGCTAAGCTCAGGTGGCTTGAAGAAACTGGAAGCCCGTGTCAAATGCTTCAAGTGTCAGAAGGTGGGCCATTGTTCCAGAAACTGCCCTTTACGGAGGAAAGGGTGATAGCCCGAGCAGTTCGACCAAGGTGAGCTTCGTTTACATGGTGAATGACAGTGAAGCAGCTGCCAACGACGAGGAGAGCCAGATCGATGCAGTGATGCGCAGTTGGGCAGAACGACCTCGTGACAGCTGGACTTTCGATGAGAAAGAAGTCGTACGCCATCATGTGAACCCAAGAACGTCTTTGTTCAGCCCTGCTCGAACCGGCTGTCTCATCCCGCTCAACGAATTGAGCGTGGCCCACTTGACTGTCATGAAGAACAGTGATGGCACAACAGAAGAGCAAATCACACCGAACTGGAAGAACAGTTTGGAGGCACACCGCAAGACGGACAAGACATGGACCGGAAAGACCATGTTCTACCGCCTGCAAAGCCACGGTGATCCGGACCCACATGACCTTCGACGCATGAGTGATGAGGCTTTGTTCCGCCTTTTCGACCCGGAGGATGCACTGGACAGAGAAATGTATGGTAGTGAGTATGCCTGCCAGGTGGAAGGTGTGGTCCTGGATTTTAGGCGTTTTGACTCGAGTTTCCATTCGAAAATTCGAAACAGATCGAAACATTCTGAGACATCCCGGGGCCGGGGACCAGGAGGTGGATTCCATTGCGGGCGCCTTCTGGGAGGAGCTTCAACAAGATGATTAATAGGAAATGGTCGAAGGAGATGAATTTCCGGAGGCCTTCAAGGAGCCAAGCAGTGGTGAAGAGGATGGAGAATCACGACCGCACGAGAGCAACTGCGGCCTGGTTCATGCCGCGGGATATGGAATCCTGGACACTGGATGTGGTCGGTGAGAACACACTGGCGAGACACATTGAACGCTTGAAGGAACATGGTCATTGCTACAAGGAGCTGCCTGAGAAGATGCACACCTTCAGGTATGGCAATGGTTCAGCAGATCGCACTGGAAGAAGAGTGGAGCTGCCAGTCTTTGTGGCTGGTCGGGAACTTCGTGTGAGGCTACATGTAGTCCCAGGGGATGTTCCACTCTTGATTTCAAAGAGGCTGCTGAAAAGCTTTGGGCCAATGATTGACTTGAACACCAACAGGCTGGTGATGACAAAGGCCGGCGTTGCAGCGCCAATCCATGAGATGAAGGACAACTCCTACCAGATCAATTTGCTGGACATGGAGAAGGGTGTGGGAATCACCTCGCCTGAGGTGGATGTGATGAATCAAGGTGGATGCCTTCCATGAAGTCTCAGCCAGGAGGAAGACGAGGAAGACATAGGCGTGCGCTGTGTGTTCAAGGCCAAGGAGAGGAAGCAGGTGGCAGGAACATGTCAGCTGTCTTGGCTCAGAGCCGATGTGATGCACCTACGGTGATGGAGTTCTTTTCACGGGGTCGCTTTCAAGATCTGGCAGAGCAGTGTGGCATGGTTGGACGAGGTGCCTCGGATTTAAGTGAAGGATGGGGTTGGCGGAGGAAAGAAGATAGGACTAGAGCAGAACAAGAAATTACCATCGTTGATCCTGATTTTTCAGTTTTCTCACCACCTTGTGGACCGTTGTCACTGATGCCAAACTTGACCCCAGATGATAGGAGAAGTGATCCTAAAGGGCAGCTAGAGGTCAAGCTTGCTAAGGATTGAGCACGGTCGCGTCTTTGTTTTTGAATCGTCCAAAACCAGTGGTGCTTGGCGAGCACCGGAGCCGCAAGCATGTGTTCATAAGCATACTCCCTTCCTAATAGATGTGCCCGCATGTGCAGTAGGCTTAAGGGACCCACAGACCGGACTTTTGTTTGGAAAGAACTGGCGATTCATGACAAGCTGCCAGACCGTGGCGGCAACTTTGGGCAAGTTGACCTGTGACAAGAACCATGAGCACCAAGTCGTTGAAGGCACATCGGCCGGCGTGTTACGATCAGTCCGCGCTCAGGTGTATCCCAACCGGTTGATTAGGATCATCTCAGGAGCAATGGCCCAGCATGAAGCAGTTGCATGTCATTGCATGGCCGTGAGTCAGGCGACGGTGCAGGGAGAGTTGAAAGGTGAAGGTCGTAGGAGGGTTGAGAGAGCCATAAATGAGTTACATGTGAACTTAGGCCATGCATCGAGAGCCGATATGCTTCGAATCCTCCGACATCATCATGCCCAGGAGTCAGTGCTTGAACTAGTGAAGAGCTTTGAGTGCAGCATTTGTCAAGCCCGGGTTGCACCAAAAGTTGCAAAGGAGTCAGCGCCACCTCGAGACACTGCACCGTTGCGGTACGTAGGTCTAGACGTCAAGCATTTGCCTTCTTGGAAACCACATGAGAAGATCAAAGCTCTAAATCGTATGTCGCATGTCCGGTTTGCAACAGATGTACCCCTTCAAAGAGCAAGAAACCTCGGAGGTCATCGGTCGGTTGTCGCAATTGGACTAGTGACTAGATGGTATGGATGGGTATGTGAAGTTCGATGCAAGTAGGTGCAACCTTGGACAGACTTTTCTAGACATGCTCGAGCGTGATGGCACCACACTTTTAGATATTCCTGGTGAAGCGCATGAACAGATGGGAGATGTTGAGAGTCAGGGGTGGCATTTTGAAGAAACCTTTCGTAGAGTTGTTGATCAAATGCCCCCCCCAAGACTTTTTGCAATGGCAGGAATGTGTGGATGTCACGATCGAAGCAAGAAATGCCTTGATGCGTCGGGCTGGCCATAGCCCCTTCCAGTTGGTGTTCGGCAGAGATCCTGAGTTTCCAGGAGACGATTTGTGTTCGGAGCAACCCAATCCAATCATAGCGCCATTCTAGAGGATGCCGTGGCTGAATACCAAAACCGAGCCAGGAGTGTGGCCAGGCAAGAGATGCTGCGTCAGCTTGATCACCGAGCAGCAAGAATTGCCTTGAATAGTAGACCGCGACCACTCCGGGAGTTCCGGGTAGGTGATGAAGTTGCCATCTGGCGACGGGGTAAAGGGATAAAGAAGTCCAGTGCCCGTTGGCGAGGTCCGGGAATAGTTGCAGGTGTGCCGGGGGTCTCTACTGCGTATCAATGCCGGGTTCGTTTGTCAAATGTGCTCCAGAGCAACTCAGATTGAGGACCACTGAAGAGAGGGAAGCAGATAGGTTTCTGGTTCGGGACCTTCGATCTGCAGCAGCATCGCTTTGGCCAGAGGTAGGACATTCGAATCGGCCCCACCAGAAATGTTATTTTGACATTACCGCTGAAGATGTCCCACCAGGAGATTTGACACATGTCCCAATGTCAGACTTGCCGGATTGCCGACAAGACCCTGCACCAAGTGCAGCCGGGACCTAACCACCTGCTGTTCCTAGGACGCCAGAGAATATTGCCGCGCCGAGAACTCCGTCCTCGTTGGACCAGGCGTCTGAACGCTCAAGATCAAGAGGTGAAGAACACTCACCTGGAGAACCAGACATTGAAAGCATCAGAAGCAGTGAGAAGAGTTTGACAGAACGCTTGAGCCAGATGTGACAGGAGGATCGCATGTCATGGCACGAATCCGTGCGCACACCTGATCGACTGGATGGACATGTTCGAAAGGAACACCCAGAGCAAACTGAAACCATGCCGGAGAAACGTCAGAGAACGGTAGAACCACAAGTAGTCGGAGGTCAGACCTTTCCACCGTCACTCCCACATCCGGCAACCCTCAATCAAGTCTTGCCAGAATCCATCCCTGTCCCAAGTTCCGGTTCTAGTGCTAGTTCGCATGGATTGATAACCCAGGTCCAATATGTGCATGATTCATGTCAAAATGCTATTGCCTTCTCAACTGCGGAAGAGCGCGAAGACTTTGTTTTGTGCACGGACCACGAGTCCGACCAAGTACTTCTTGCCGGAATGAATTGGATCTTAAGCTAGACAAGTGGACAAGCGCAGAGGGCAAGAGAAAGCTCGTCGCAGGAATCAGGAAGGAGACTCAAAACGTAGTAGCAGACAAACAAGCTCTTTGGCCTCTGTCAATCGAGCAGTCCAGACAGATCAGGCAGACTGAACCAGATCGTATCGCGCCAAGCAAGCTGGTACTTGTTGAAAAACTAGATGATACCGGAGAGGAGCCAGTAAAGGCCCGATGGACCGCTAGAGGTGACAAAGACCCTGACCTACTAGCATTAGTTAGGCAAGGAAGCACTCAATCGCCCACCATCTCTTCGAACGGTCGATGCACGGTTCTTCAAGCAATTGCAGGTCATAGATTCGAACTGCAGCTTGGAGATGTCACCGGAGCTTTCCCTGAAGCAGATGAGATGGAGAGAGAGAAAGGTAAGCTGTACATGGCACCCCCAAGGAAATATGCACTTCCTGATCATGATCCCTAGCAATTGTTTGAAGTCGTCAAGCCAATTGATGGGTTGAACCATTCACCACAGAAATGGTTCCTCCAGTTCGATAGAATAGTCAAAGGGCCCGGATGGAGCCGGTCAAAACTGGATCACTGCATTTACTTTTTGTGGGTAGGCCAAAAGTTGCAGGGAATCTTAGGAGTGCACGTTGGTGATGTGCTGCTGGGCGGCCAAGGGGAGACGTTCGAGAGCTCAATACAGAAGCTAAGAGACACATTCCCCTTCCACAAATGGAAGAAAGGCTCTGGGAGTTTTTGTGGCTCAGAGTTGAAGCAGTGACCGACAACGCATGAGATCATCGTGAGTCAAGAAAGTTTTGCCGAAAAGCTTGAGAAACCCAAATTAAGAAACCGTGAATCACCTTTGGTTGAGGTGACAGCAAGTGAAGCATCCTCTCTAAAGTCGGTGTTGGGCGGCGCTCTGTGGCTTGCTCGTGAAACCAGGCCAGATCTTGCAGTTCAGGTGAGTCAAGGACAACAGCTCCTGCCAAAACCCACCTTGGGGGCTGCGCGCACAGTAGGCAATGTGGTGAGACGAGCACAGCAGTACAAGATTATACATGCATACATACATACATACAAGCCTACATACAACTATCGGAATAGGTAAAATCTTCCAAACAAGATTCTTGTACTGCTGTATGTATTAATGTAATGTAATGTATGCAATCAATTAATGTATGTATGTAACCATGGATGTATGTAATGTCATGTAATGTAATGTAATGCAATGAAATGAAATGCAATGGTATGTGTGTATGTATGTATGTATGTATACGATGTTACATATATAATATACAGTTTTGTTTTGAACAGCTTTGCGTCAGGTACCAATGTGGAAATGACCGCTGTGGCGTTCGCAGCTCCGGGCATTGGAGTGGCGGAGGCGCTTCTCTTTGGTCAGGACATGAAGTCCACAAATCGTTTGACATCTATCACTGTGCAGCCGCAGAATGACATCGTGTCGCGGATTGAAGCTTGAATCTGCAAAGGTCTGCCGTTTCTCAGGTTTGGAGTGGCCCACAAACAGATTCCGATTAATGTTTACTTGAGTGTTTTATATTCTTTTCCTCTTTTTCCTGTTTCTATCTATATATGATGGACTTCGCTGTGAGCTGTCAAGAGCTTTTCACTCGCTTGGGCGAACCTGTTAATTTCATCAGCCCAACGAGCTCTGTTTTGGTGCGTGTTCTGAAAATGTGCTGTGCCGAGGACCACAACACGGGTTCTACCATTCCTGTGGAATGCCATGGGAGCCCAAGACATTGCCACAGTGTTTACGCGACATTATGCGCCATATATCGCAACTGTGGCTCGCAGCGCTCAAATTCGAAATTGGAAATTCCATGTGGATGGTGCAAGGGCATGCCATGTGTGGACACGTCTTAAGGACTGTTTCACACAGCTTTCACGAGAACGATGGAACCAGTAGCTTCAATAGCGAAAGTGAAAATGGAAGGAAGATAGTGATAGTGATGCCAATGTCAATGTATTGTGATGTATTTGTAATATTGGATTGGCATGCAAGTCGCCCGGCAAGAATCAAAATCATTGATGCTGGCAAACTCATTTTGATGCAGGTGCTCAGCGGGTCGTTCTGCCAGGGGTTGCGCATGCTTGCTTTGACGATGTGAACAATGTGAACCTGCTTTCTTTGCTGACGGATGCTGGCATTACACAACGTTTGACGCAAGTGGCTGAGCTCCAACTCAGCAGTTTACGATCTGATTCAAGTTTGGGCCGTTGGGCTGTTGGGCTGTGACGAGACACCAAGACACACCAAACTGAGGCCAAGGTGAGCACACCGAGCTTGACCCCGAAAACGTGGCTTGACAGATCCCTACTTCAGGCGGGCCCAAGCACCGAAAAGCAAGGACGCGTGAAACGTGTGATGCAGGAGTGAAACGGCGAAGCCAAGAAAACAAGGCTTTTGATCAATTTTTTTGGGGGTAGAGACCGGCGGAGGCCTTATGTACTGGTAACTAGGGCTGCCGCATGCGCCGCATGCGACCGGCGAGGCCCGCTCCTGGGTGTCTCCGGTCTTTCTGTCCACCGCGCATGGCCGTGTCATGCCGGGCTTACCCGTGGTCGATGCCGAGACGCCGTTGCTGTTGGTTGGGAACCACCAGCTGCCTCTAGGTGCTCATTAGATCTGTTTGTTGTGAAGTGTGGTCTCCAAGTTACTATGAACTTCAGTGAGCCTCCTCGATCTGAATTGAATCCTTTGACACCCGAGTTGCGCAGTGAAACTTTTGCAACTGCTCGCGGAGTGAGGTTCAGCTTGGACGGGATCTTCATAGTCGAAGAGTTTTTGCGCGAACAGCAGCGGTCACTGAGCCGAAACCCACACAGCTGCGCAAAGTTCAGCTAGCAATCGCTCAATCGCTCAATCGAGGTTGGTCACTGCCATGGTATACCCGCCACTGTTGGATGACTCTCGGCAAAACAATTGATGTGCCAGGTCAAGTGTTGTTCCCTCTTTCACAACCCCACAGATTGACACCTGACATGTTGAGGAAGTGTCGCCGCTAGATCCTTTGCCATATCCTTTTCCTGGTTCTTTGGAGCTCTTTGAGAAGTTTCAGGCCAGGCTCCAAAGCTCCATGATTGTGGTGTAGTCCAAGATCCGTTACTCGGAAGTCTCTCAAGCTTGCAACATCGTCTCTCAGCCTTCCTTACAACTCGGAAGTTATGTCATACTTCCGAATATTGGGCTACCTGCATGCCCAAGTGATCGAACTTCTCGTCCTGGTTCCTTCTTTTCGTCCTTGGCTCGCCTGTCACCATGTCCCCAGGTGAAACCCACAAGCCCACGAAACCTACTGAAGACGCTGCGCCCGGGCAACGCTGCTTTGCTCTTCCCTGGTGGCGCTCGTGAGGTCTTCAAGCGCCACTTGGAGAAGAGCGAAGGATCCGACGGGGTGCCATGAGAAGCGGTGACGGTTTGACATTCGTGTGACCTGGTCCAACCTGCCAAGATACACAAATCAAACAAACAGTGCAATCGTGCAGAAGAGCTGGTGCTTCGACTGGTGCTTGTAAGTACTGTCAGAGGCCTCCCCCATGACCAGCAGCATAAGCAGCTTGCATTCTTGAACCCGTGCCAGCGTACTATACACACCGTGTGGTAAACAATTCAGAGGCTCGTTTCATCAAAGAGTTATATACAGATTTTCAGTTCGACATCATGCCAGGCAAAGGTGAAGAGTACCAACTCTTTTGGCCTGATGCGCCTGACTTGGTGCGGATAGCTGCAAAGGCCAATGCCACCATCGTCCCGTTCAGTGGGGTTGGTAGCGACGAGCATCTTGGACTCTGCATGTGAGGTCCCTCCTAGATGTGCACATAGCTGCATCGCCGATGATCTACATGCCTATCCCATCTTATTATTTCCACAAAAAAGGTCGGAACGCGGGACAGCCTTTTGTTATCGGGCAGACTTGGTAACGTGCTGGACGTGAGAGATTTGGCCACACTCGAATCTAGTCAGTCTCCTGCAGTCAAAGCTTTGTGCTAAGGTTTTTTGCCGGCACTGTGCTCGATTCAGACGAGCTGCTTGGGTTGCCGGTGATTGGACGCTTGGCACGCTTAACGTCCAACGCTCACGTTTCAATATACATCCCAAGAAAAGGAGTCGTGCACGGGGATTTGAAAAGGTTTGCCGTTATGTAGCCGTGTGGTGACACCATAGGCTAAGCGTGAATCACGCTGGTGGTTGGCGGCCGGAGTTGGATGCAATCAGCGCCAATGATTGTGCGTGCAACATCAAAACAATTTGTTGCTTCCTTGAACGTGTGAAGGCTCGTGTGTGTAAGAGTTACTTCGGGTATCACTACAAGTTGCTAGACTCACTAGTTGACCAACGTAGATCCGACTAGTCCTGCTCAGTGCCATCTGCATGTGTTGGCTTTGCTTTGGCTGGGTCGCGTGGTGTCCCAGCCGAATCAGGAGATTGGTTTCGGGAGCGTATTCAGAATTTGCCAACCTTTGTTGAGGACGGCCAGCCGTTTGAGAGAGTGGAGACGTGCAGAGTCACCGCGGTCCCTGGCGGTCCCTGCTTGCCAGGATGACGTGTTCGTGCCACCGGTGCCAGTACCACGGATCCAAGGAACTTGGACGGTGGGTTCTAGTAGCGTCCGATCCCTCCTAGCAGCGATGCCCTTTGTTCCTAATAGCGTCCTTGCTCCTAGTAGTAAGGCCAGGAGCCCCTAGTAGCGTCCGATCCCTCCTAGCAGCGATGCCCTTTGTTCCTAATAGCGTCCTTGCTCCTAGTAGTAAGGCCAGGAGCCCCTAGTAGCGTCCGATCCCTCCTAGCAGCAATGCCCTTTGTTCCTAATAGCGTCCTTGCTCCTAGTAGTAAGGCCAGGAGCCCCTAGTAGCGTCCGATCCCTCCTAGCAGCGATGCCCTTTGTTCCTAATAGCGTCCTTGCTCCTAGTAGTAAGGCCAGGAGCCCCTAGTGGCGTCCGATCCCTCCTAGCAGCGATGCCCTTTGTTCCTAATAGCGTCCTTGCTCCTAGTAGTAAGGCCAGGAGCCCCTAGTAGCGTCCGTTCTCCTAGAAGGCGTAAGCCTGGCGTAAGCAATGTAAAAGGATTGTGCTCTTGCTTCCTTTAGTTCTTCGTCCTTTTTCCTGCTCTTTCAGTAGATTTAACAAACAGTTATGTCTTGTTCATGGTTCTTTCCGAAGTTCTTCCCTATCCAAATGACTGTTTTCCTGGATTGAGTGTGATGCGCCATGGCTGTGCATAGACTGAACTGGGTCCCCAACGCAAAGACCGCTACAAGCTGGTCGTCGCCCAATCCACAAGAGCACAAATCAAGAACCTTAAGCTTCTTGAGAAATGCATGGTTCTTATTGTTTCTTGATTTCATCAAATCTATGCATTTCTGGGTGGTCTGTCTAGATCTTGCGAGCCGTTGAGATCCGTTTTGACCTTTGTCTGGTCGAATCTGAGGTGCTTCGACTTCAAACCAAGTCACTGGACCAGATACTGCGTCCTTCACGCAGCCCATGAACTTGGGCAAAAGACGCTTTGCAAAGCATGCCTTTTCGTAGGCCGTGAGTTCTCCTTGGCACGAGTCAAATGTCGTCCTATGTCGACAAGCTTGATTACAACTTAATGGCTCCTAGTAGCGATGCCAGGAGTCCCTAGTAGCGTCCTTGCTCC